TGAAAACATTGACTCATCTGCTGTATCTCTCCGTCTCTCCTACAAACTCTGTCAAGGGGGGCCACATACTTTGTCCAGATTTTTCTGCACAGCAGGAATGAATGCTGCTCTGGACAGCTTCTGATGGAACATCACATGTAAAGTCGGGCTGAGACTTGGAGGCGGTCCTGCTTGTCTGTTGCCATGGTTGGTCCTGGGTTCTTCGCCTCTGGTCATGTGGCCTGGGCCCCAGGGCCCCTGGGATTTCCCTCAGTCTACAGGTTGGAGACAAAATGGCTGCCAACAAAACTTGGTAGTTTTTAATGGTTCTTCTTGAATTTTCGAATTGTGTGATGCCACTTTTTCTCACCTTAGTTTATTTAACAGCACATTCACTGTCTACCGCCTTTGCATTCTGACCTCTGCTATTTGACCCCCGGGATAAGTTTAACGGTACAAGTGAAGGCTCGATGCAGCAGGGTGTTAGAACTCTCTGCAGTTTACAGAAATATTTTGTTTGCCTGAATAATTTTCTTTCTGTTTGTTCAACATCTGGCTAATGTGTTTTTCTCCTCCAGCCTTACAAGAATTGAAAAAGGATAAAAGTACGGTAATAGTTGTTAATTTCCTGATTTACAAAAGCACAACCAACCACGATTCAAATACAAAAGAGACAAGTCCTAAGTTAAGTTCTAAGTTATACTAAGTTCTATTTGGCTCAAATAACAGTGGCTACAAATATAAGGACTATTATTTCAAGTTATGATTTAAGTTTATTTGGAATCCATTTCAAATCTTAGGAAAATCTACTCTTTGGAAAATTACTGAACCAAATGATGGGTTTACTGCACATATTTTCAATCAACTATTCAATTCTTTCACTGAGATGTAAACACCCTGTTTTAATTACATCCAACTGTTATAATTAGCAGTGAAAGGAAATGTGGAATAACTGATTTGCGTGGGTTTCTTAGGAGTTTCTGTACCAAAACACTATACAGTGTTCCGATACAGGGGGGACAGGGGGCGATGCATGGAATTACTCTATTCAAGCAAATTGTGAGTTAATCTATTGAGAAATTTTTCAGTTTCGGGCTTCAACAAAATATAAAAGAGTTAAATCAAAATTCACAAATGTTTTAACTATTCAAATGAGTTTCTAAAGTAATACTGAATATTCTGAATTGAATACATTAAAATTAACAATGATGTCATGTGTCAAATAGATTTTTACAAAATAGTTTCTTAAAATATGGAAGGGATTGTTTAATTGTTGCATCTCTCTTGCTATAATTTGAAATAATAGGTGGTTTAACCAAGTCATGCAGAAAGGTCTAACCTGAACATTTATGTAATTTAATTAATTTAGTTGTATCAAAGTTCTCCCCAAAACATATTCATAGTCTGATCCTATGAATATGCCAACACTTACAACAAGCAATGTTATTTTCAAAAGAACAAATTGTTCAAAGGTTAAAATTGTTGAATGAATATGATAAACACTACAAAAGAGGGTAATTCAGTTAAATAAATATTAGGGGTTTCAAAAGAACAAATTGTTCAAAGGTTAAAATTGTTGAACTTTTGGGATTTAAAATCATAATTAGAATAAAATAAGTAAGTTAAATATGTAGTGACAGGGTTAGCTTTATTCTTGTAAAAAAACAACAGGCTAATCAGTATATTAAGTTTTAAAATGAGAAGAAAATATGAGGATTCAAATTGAATTGGTCTAAATTGGGAATTTGCAAATTAGCAATTATGGAACTGCTTAAAGGGGGACAAACAGATTGACAGAAAAAAAAATCAAGTTCTATGTGTAATTGTTGATCCAAGATAATAATGTCTAAACCTTTCTCATAATCATAATTTACAGATTTTGGTTTGAGACAAAATAAGGTTGTCTTTTATTACATGAATGGAATATATTAGAAGGGATCTTAATTTAACACAGATCATTAACGTTTCACACCATTGATGATATTTTACAAGCCTTTAGTATAGCGGGTTAGTTATTGTTAAATGAGGACTATTTGAATGAATTTGATTAAAATAACAAAAACAAAAGATTTATATATGGTTTAAGATTTCTGGTAAAGTTTCTATTAGGGATAATTCATATATACATTTCAAATGATATTTATTTGATAAAACATGACTGTGGGCCAGGCAGTTTTGCACATTCATTTCATAATCTGGTCCTTTACATGATTTTTTGTTTGGTTTCTAATTTTGTCTGATCCTATGAATATGCCAACACTTACAACAAGCAATGTTATTTTTGAAGGTTGAAATGTACAAGGTGTTACTGACTTTAAGCATTTCTTTAGCTATTATTAAGAGGAGAACTTAAATAACAGATGTTATTAATATATTGATGCTCTATTAGCTTAGTATGAAAAAAACAAAACTGATCTTCAGCTTCAAGGAACAGCCTTTAAAAAATACAAAGAACATTATGTTTTCTAATCAGATGATGGCCACTCTTAAAAAATCTTCCTTGCTCTCCTCATCACCTGTGGATGCTGCTGTTCCCTGCCTGAAGTCCTTGGCTGTTCAGTGCATCACTTCCAACATAGAGAAGGGTAGTGGTACCAATAGAACCCAACCTCCCTATCAGATGGTTTCCCAGGACCGAAAGATGATCGTGGAACTCCAGCTTTCTAGAGTATAAGGGCAGTACTAGTATCTAGTATAAAAAAAGATAATATTTTTCCTTTACTTTAGTGTTCATTATATAATACATTGATTTCGCATTTTTGTTGTTTTTTGTGTTGCAGAATGAAGCCCTATCCTTTCTGGGTGTGCCAGGATGTGAGACTGTGGGCGCCTTCCACGATTGGTGGACCAATTTACAGCTGAAACGCCACACTGAAGCCTCGTGGGCTCTGTCGGGGTTTCCTATCGAGTTGCGCCGCCTCTACATCTGGACACACGCAGAAACTGATTTGATGTTGATAGGTCTTGCTATCGCAAAAACTGATCTGATTCCATTTTATTGATTTCATTACAATTCAATCTTACTGCATTTTTATGGTTACTTACTGATTTGATTCTACTAGTATCATTACATTTTACTTATACGGAATTTTAAACATTTAAGAATGTTAGTTTCGTAAAATCATTAGATTTTGATTGTACTGCCTGTAATGCTAGTTTACTTCATTGGTTTGCAAATTCAAAATGTGCTCGTTTTATAGTCTGTGCCCTTAACATTTCTTTTCATCTGTTAACTTTGCATCCTTTCATAGTGTATTAACTTCTTCACTATTATCTTAACATTTAATTGATTCATGACTTATTAACTTTAGAAGTAGTATCTTAACATTTCTTTGTCTGGATTTTCTATTTTAAGTACTATCTCACATTTATTCATTACTTCATTCATTTTGGGTTTATTAAATCTTGCATATTACCCAACATTTTATTGATTTTGCATTTTAGTAACTCTTACTCATTTACATTTTATTCATTTTAAAATATTAACCCAACACTTTATTCCTTTTTGCATTTCATTAAGTTTTGAAATATTCTGACATTTCATTCAATTTGCATTTCAGTACATTCTAACAATTCCCTCAATATAACTTTTAACCATTTCATATGTCATTATATGTAACATTAATCTCTTAACTTTTATTACTAAAAAAAAAAATATTCAGATTTTGCTCTTTTATAATTTATTACCCTCCCGTGGCATGACGTTGACCTGAGGTAACAAAAAGAAATAATAAATAAATAACAAGCAACATGAAGGTAATAATAATAATATTTGGTTCCAGACAGTGTCATGGTCCGACTTAATGACTGATGTGTAATTACAGATGACGAAGCTCTCACAAAACTGCAGGAAAATATTTTCTTCCACTAAAAAAAAAAAAAAAGAGTCATGCCATGGAGGGTTGACTTTCTCCAAATTTAACACTCTAACATCCTTACATCCTTTAACAATTTTCTTTCGTTATGTGTTCTTCATTAAATTGTAAGAGGGACATTGTGATTTCGATCCACCGCCTAAGAGGAATAGGGGTGCCCTGTCCGTTTTTACCCCCAAAAATGAAATGAAATGAAGTGAAATGAAATGAATGAAAGACAACATCAATGACTGAAATGATGCTATGTATGTCAACATCTGTAATAGCCTCGGGGGATGTTTTCCGGAAGGGACAGTGTCTACTCTAGGATTTTTCTCCCCCTTTTGCGCTGAAAGTGAATAAAATAAGTAAAGTATGAATGCTTTTGTTGGCTGATTTTATGCTCTGTGTGTCAATACAAATTATGGATTCATCAATTAGGATTTTCATTCTCAACAATAACTATAAATAATAATAAAGGGAATTATTAATTAATCTATCAATTTAGATCAAAATTATCAAGTTGGGACACCACCTGATCAACAAGAAAATAATAATGGTGCTTTGTTGAATCAATAGCAGTCCCCTGCAGTTTGAGAACTGATTAAAAGGAAACCCAACTCACCCGTCAACCTTGCTGAGATCAGCGTCCGTCTTCAGATGATCCCTTGCATGATTGGCATAGTCAGTGACTATAGCAACATACAGAGAAACATACTCAAACAGAAGTTCATTATGAACTGATGTCAGTCTTAGCAGGACCTACCAATGACATGTGTAGAGATCCCAGCTTGAGCGAACAGTGGCGCTACCTTCTGCTCATAGATGCGTTTGCCCTGACGCTTCCCACCGTATGGGTTGATGTAGACCAGCAGATTTCTGGGTCTGGCGGCTGTAACAACCAACAGTTCTTCATCACAACTGTTTTAACACGTGTTTATTTTCCAGTCTGCTTGTGTGTGCGTGTGCGTGTGTGTGTGTGCGCATGTGTAGGAGCCTAGTCGTACAGATGCTGGCTAGCTGCTCTCTGATGCTGCTGACCCAGTTCTGGCAGAGGACCCCATCTGGACACGTGAAGTTAACTTCAGCGCAGCGCCAGTGGTGCTGACGACACCTCTCCACGTACAACACTGAAATAAAGCAGAGGCCCCAAGTCAATTTTAGGTGTTGATTTTTGCTGACCACTGACAAGTTATTGAAACAGTAAAGTTTTTTAATGATAATGATATAATTATACATCACTATATAATTATATCATTATATAAATATTATATTCAACAAAATAATAATTACCATGTAAGTTGCACTACATATCAATCAATCAATTAATCAAGTTTATTTGTATAGTACATGTAAAGAGTGAAAAGGAATGGTGAGAGTACAGTTTCCTGTGTTGCTGATTTCCTGGTTAGACATTCAGTCCTTCAGTCTCACAAACTGTGTTCTGTTAGTCAGGTAGTCATAGATAGAGGTGATTGTTGAGTCCTCCACCTCTGTCTTCTGTAGTTTCTCACAGAGCAGATCAGGCTGAATTATGTCAAATGCACTGGAGAAATCAAAGAACATGGTCCTCACAGTGCTGCCCGCTTTGTCCAGATGATTGTTGAAGCAGGTGGATGACGGCATCATCAACTCCACGGTGATAAGCAAACTGCAGGCGTCCTGATATGCACTTGTCTGCTTATTCAGGTGGGCCAACAGGAGTTTCTCCTGGACCTTCATGATGTGGGATGTCAGGGCAACAAGGTTCATAGTCGATGACTGATGGAGCAGCTTTCTTTGGAACCAGAACTAGGCAGGATGTCTTCCACAACCAAGGAACCTCCTCTTGAGTCAGGCTAAGGTTGAAGAGGTGCTGCAGAATCCCATTGACCTGCTCTGAATAGGACTTCAGGACTCTGGGGCTGACACCATCTGGACCTGACTTCTAGATAGAGAAATGTGAGAGGGGGAGGCAAAGGAAGCAGCAGCATCTCCTGATTGTGTTTAGGACAAGCTTGTGGAAGCAGAAAAGTCTATGACTGAGGTAGAAGATAAAACAGCTGAGGTTTAACAGGACAGCTGTGGGTTAGGGTTAGGAGAGTGGGATGTCTGTTGGATTGGGGGCAGGTGAGGAGGATGATGAGCTTCCTGAGCTAAATCTAATGTGTTCAGCTCATTTGCTCTGTCCAGACTTCCATCTTATCTATATACCAAGTGGTGGTAAAAACTTCAAAACCACAAGCTTCACCAAGACTTAATCGAAGTCGTGTCTCAAAATGAAATGCATCGCCCACATCAAACAAAAGGAAACACATTGAAACCAAAATCTCCTCCAGCAGAGGAAATCCAACAAGATGCCAAGCTGACATCGTCAAAGGGTGTTTCCCACTCACAAGCACGTCAAACAAGTTCCCGCTGAAACGTTCAAACAAAAGACACAAGAAAATAATGCCCAACAAAAGACATATAGGTAAACATAACCCAAAATTTGTGTGCAAACACAAACTAGGTTCAAGTGACAAGCCCCCACTTTGTTACGAGCTGTAACACAAGACAGGGAGACATGGACTTCAAAAATAAATAAGCTCTTTATCAAGTAAAACATAACTATAAACCAAGCAAATGGGCAAGCAGCCCCATGACAGATGGCATAACTAACTGTTCAGGGACTGCTCCAAGGAGTTGAGCCCAGCCAAGATCTGCCAACGAGCCAGCCTGAGAGGAGCAAGAGCTGGCCAAGGAAGAGCCACCCAATGAAAAGCAAAAAGTGGTCATGTTGGAGCATAACTGCTTTTATAGCCAGAGGACCCTGGGCCCTAGTGCAGTGGTCCCCAGCCTTTTTATTACCACGGACCGGTCAAGACTTGGAAAGTCTTGACCCGCTAATTACTGCATATACCCAATTTGGGTTGTCTTGGCCTTTTTATCGCAGCCTGTGGGGTTTACCCTGACTGGGAACGAGAATACAACCTGCTGAATGTGACAGGTAGCCAATCAGAAAGCGCGGTGACGTAAGAACAGAGGGGAATCCCAAACAGCTGACATATCGCGCAACTGTGAGTCTGGTGGATATCGGAGATGATGTGTGGAAATGTTTATTATTATATGTAAAGGTCATCATTATATATGTTTATGTTTATTCAGTTAAAAATGTTAACCATGAAAAAACATATTCACCTCCAAATCATAGTGCAGCAAATAGAGCGGCTGCTCCCGCTGTCTTTTATCCACCGCCTTTTCTTTTTATTACGTCTTTTATCTCTTAAAATGAGTCCACAAACTGTCACTATTGCTTCTACATCGTCATCCGTGTTTGGTTATTCTAAATTCCCGTATGCTATGTTGGGGGTTTTACTGGATTATCCTCTGGAATCGGGATGTTCGTGTGGTGTGTTC